TGTCCTAGTGACTGCCTTTTTAAAAATCCTGTTAGTGGACTTCCCTGGCAGTCCAGTGCTTAAGACTCAGTGCTTCCACTGCAGGGGCATGGGTTTGATCCCTGGTTGGGGAAGTTCTACATGCCGCGCAGGGGGGCCAAAAAAAATAATAATAAAATAAAATCCCATTACTGTTGTTTTAATGGGTTTCAGGGAACAAGTTGTGTTTGTTCAATCTGATATCTTTAACCAGAAGCTTCAAAAATGTTATTAATCTGGGATTTTTATACCCAGAGAAATCATTGATACATGAGGATAAAATAAAGAAATTTTAGATATGAATAGACTCATAAATGTTGCTATACCCTTTCTTAGAAAGATGTGATCTTGTAAAAGGAGAGGGTTAAGCAAGAAAGAAGATGACCTGGGGTCCAGGAAACAGGGTCCTAGTGCAGGAGGGTAGCAAAGTGGACCCGAGGATCACAGCCAAGCCCCAGCCCAGAGAGCGGCCCATTCAGCCTGGAGCTGGAAGGTAGGCAGGGATTCCAGGAAACAAAGTGGAGCTGGGTGGCTCTGACAGTGTTTTGAGTGTTTAAAATTTTTACTGTTAGCCTTTGTTATCTGTTGTGTAGCTGAAAAAATCAGTGGTTGATATACAGAAAGCTAAGAAAAATTTAAAACCGATGCAAATATTAACTCCAGGAGAAAAGAAAGTTGTTAGAGGATCGAAATAACCTTAGTATGCTATTTGGTTCACAAGTGAAGAATACTTACATTATTACATTATTCTACTGACTTTAGTTTTGAAATTGATGCTACTCTGTTGGGAAGGTAAGAGTGTATGTGAGCTAATAAGCCTGTACCTGCCTGACCTTAAGTCAGTGGGTAACACTTAAAATTGATAACACTAGAAATAGCAAGGTAAACCTATTATTTGGAAATATAGACATAACTATCAGAAGAAATAAGTAAAAATAAGTAATTCTTTTTAAACTACCAGAAGAAGTAAGAAAAAATAATTTTACAACTATCTGAAGAATTTTCTGTGGGAAATGGGATTAGGAGCAGGGGGCTGGGGGAGGGGAGGCAGGATTTCTATTTCATCCTGTGATGTACATACCTAAGAATTGAGAAGACCTTGAGGGAGGAGCCCCACTCAGGTCAGTCTGCTTCTGCCACAGCTCTCCTGGCATCTGAGAGCTGTGGCCACAGGTGGAGTGTGCCTGGGACTGGTGGCTTCAGGTCCTGTCCCAGGCAGTAGCAGAAGGTAAAATGTCCCTTCTGTGAACTTGTGCCCTGAGACATTCATGGACCTAGGAGCCGCAGGAGGGAGGCAGATTTTGAACTTGAAACTTATAGGGCTGTGTTTTTGCAGTTAATCTCTGTGTACCGCATATACTGTCCACATGGGTGTAAAATGGGAAGACAGAGTGCTCATGTTGGCGTGTCCCTGATGGAACAGAGACAGAGATGGTGGTCCCTGGGGATCCCCCAAACCATCAACCTTTAGCCCAGTGAGATCCCCCTGAGCGACATGACTGGCCCCAGCTGTGGGGAAAGAGAATCAATTTAAAGAACGTGTTCAGCGTAACAGAAATGCTATTAGTAACTGTATTTCCTGGCTCTCTGGTTTTAGAAATCCTGCGTTGGTTAGCAAGTATTGGTTAACTTAGAGACATTTGATTTTTGACCATGATTCTAAACCTGTTTGGTGTGAAATAGGACAGTGACATGTGTCCCGACAGCTCAGAGCACTGAAGAGGCTCCAGTCTGTCCTGCCCTCTCCCTCATTCAGAGACGTTACAGGCTCATCTGGACAAGTTTTAAGTTTCTGGAAACACAAATTAGAATCACTCACATTTTGTCCTTTATTTGCACATCATCTTCTTTTCCGGCCACTTGCTGTTGGGAGCAGCAAGCAGGACACTGCCTGCCCTGACTACTGACTCAGTTTCCCCATTGGTCTCGAGGCCTCCAGCTCTCGCTGCCCTGATCTCCGAGGGCACACGTGGGTCCTGAGGTGGGACACTTCTGCTCTGAAGCAGGTCTGTCATGGCCTTGCCTGCCTCCCCATCTCAGACATTCCCTCTTCCTCAGATTTTCAGTAGCGTTTCAGCCGGGTCTCCTCCTTGGGCTTCATTCTGAAGTCCGGGGAGGGACATCTGGAGAGGAGCACTCCTTCGGAGACGTCGGGGCTGGACTCAGGTTGGGTTCCAGGCTTGGACTCATCCCCGTCCCCACCACAGGGAGTGAGCGTGAGACCTTCCACTAAGGGATCAGGGCCACCTGCTGCCAGGTGCCTGGGACAGTGCCTAGAGCTGCTCTGGGGCATCTGTACCCTGAAACCCGCACTCTGGGGCTGGCTGCACACCCTCCAGCTGGCTGCCGCGCTGTCTGTGGGGCTCAGAGAAAACTCCTTATTGTCAGAGGTGGTCCTAAGAGGGCTGTAAGGCTGCTGATCCAGTGAACTCTGCCTCCCCCAGCCACCCTCACCTCTTGCTTCTGGCCCCCAGGACACTCAGGGGGCCTGTGTCTGTTGGTGGGTTTCGGGGGCAGCATGTAATGGACGCTGAATAATGAGTGATGGGGGGATGGATGTGGGCATTTGGATATGAAGGAAAATGGAGGCGAGAGGAAGGCTCAGAATTGCCGCCTGAACCACAGAGAAGCCTGCTCATCACAGAGCAGCGTCCTCCACCACCACCAGGCTTTCTGGTTACTTTACTGTGCTGTTTCACCTGCCCCCCCCACCCCCTCCCCGGGCTGCAGATGGCTTCACTGCGGGCTGCATCCTGGCCACCTGGTGTTCTGTGCCCCCCCGGCAGAACCGGTCCTTTTCTTTCTCTCCCCTCTGCCCTAGATTCCTCGTCCCTCTGTGAGCAGTTTGACCGGTTGTATACCAGGTGCCCAGGTGCTGTGCTTGGTCTGGGGAAGAGGCCAAGACCAAGTGGAACCACAGGTCTTGCTCGTTTGAGCAGGCAGAAGGGAGGTGTGAAGAGCAGGCAGAAGGGAGGTGTGAAGTGCAGGCGTAGCGAAATATGCTTCAGCTACACCCAAGCTGGTCTTCAAGCTTGTCCCAGGCATGCCTGGTTTTGGCCTTTGCCCAGGCTGCGCCCTCTGCCTGGGAGCGCTCTGCTCCCTCCCTCCTTATCCCTCAGCCCGGTGGGGATCTGCCCACTCCTCTGCCTGTCGCCCTGGAGGGTCGGAGGCAGGGGCTTTGCATGTCTCCTCCGGGGAGCGGGAAGTGGTGGTTCCCAGATGTGTGCACGGGGCACCCCAGTCCCAGAGAGCTGAAGCCGTCCCACCCCAGGGCAGTGTTTGAAGAGGGCAGCTTCTCCTCTAGGTCTTTGCCTCAGGTCCAACTTATCTCAGGCACTGGGAACACATTTTATGTGTTAGAGTGATTGGCAAGCTGATCCCATCACCTGCCTGGGAAGGGACTATGGAAACTCCGAGGAAATACTCTACTGAGTAGTTAGTGGAAGAGGGACAAAGCTGCTATAGGGGCTCAGAAGGACACACATGTGCTTCTTCTACAAAAATTAGAAAATGCAGAGGCAGCCCCAACTTGGAACCTTAGGAGTTGTGGTAATTAAAGAAATCGATTCACAGATGCTGAGCAGCCACTGAAAGTGATCTTCACTCACTTAAGAATATGGAAAGCTGTTTATAGTCTTCAGCTTGCAAAGCAAATCATAAAATAGTGCTTGACGTGATCCCAATAGTTTTAAGGATTTGTGTAGAAAGGAGAGATTGCAAGGGCAGCAACCTCTAGAATAGTACAGTTTATCTGTTTCGTCTTTTCAAATTTTTGTATTTTATATTTTACATTGAATATGTGTTATTTTATAATGGGAAAAAATAAAGACGATTTATTAAATAAAAACAGTGTCAGGGAATTCCCTGGCAGTCTCCTTTCACTGCCAGGGCCCAGTTCGATCCCTGCTGGGGAATTAAGGTCCTCTGCCCGCAGGTGGGAGAGGTGGGGACCACCCGTTGCCACGCCACACCATGCCCCCACCACGCCCATCTCCCCACCTTGGCATGTGCCACACCCCTCCTGGGCCACACTCCCCCCCCCCCCGGGGTG